TTTGTTTGTTTGTTTGTTTGTATTTTACCTTTTTTTCCATGGTTTTTCCCGCCCTCCCGAGACTTTAAAGGGAAAGGCGCCCTCGGAACGGGTTGGTAGTGTTCTATTTCCGAACGCGAAACTCCGGCCCTATCAATAGCAGATTTGCGCGTTGTCGTCATTTCACTACAAACACCAGAATTCATTTCGTTTTTTCTTCATTATTTACAGTTTGAATTCCCAGTGGGGTTTAAATAACAATTACCCTAATAAGCATAAGAAACAGAAAAAAAAAAAAAAAAAAAAATGAAGGATTGTAATAGTTGTAATCAAAGTCAATAAAGTCTTGAGATTCTAATATTTTTAAGCTTGTTATTACAATTATACACGATTTATTACCTGGTGAATCATGAATGTACCAACTAATTGAACCAAATTGTTCTCTGCCGAGTCATGTACAAACTTTCTGCACTACTATTAACTGACTGATATGCTGAGTGCTAGAAAATCGCAATACCATAATCGCACTCAAGATGGTATAACATGACTATAAATTAAATTGTGAATTAACTTAGCATTAATTTTTGCACCTCCTCTGACTTTCAAGATATAGACAAACACCCGTTGTATGCTTTTGTTCTTACAGTACGGTACCTTGCTCATTTGCCTTTAAACTATGTTCATCTGCTGTAGGTCAGATTTTCTCACGAAGATATTAATTCTTTCGTTTCCTCGTCGTGCTCATTCAGCTAAAATGTGGATTAATGTNAAATCGCAATACCATAATCGCACTCAAGATGGTATAACATGACTATAAATTAAATCGTCAATTAACTTAAGATCAATTTTAGTCACCTACTCTGAAACTTAAGACATAGGCAATAAAACACCAGATATACTTTTGTTCCTAGAGCACAGTGTCTTGTTTATTTTCCTTTAAACTACCATGAAATCGCGATCTCTCGAACCCTCATTTTCTGAAGCCTCTCGATAACTGAAACCAAGACTCGTTTCCCACTCCTCACACGAACACTCTACCTTTACCTCCAACATTCCGATTTTTCGCTCTAATTTTTGTTTCCATTGGAGGTTCGAAAAATCGGAATTCCATTGTATGTTCATTTGCTGTAGGTTAGACTTTTTTCACGACGATAATTCTTTCGTTTTTTCATCGTGCTCGTTCATCTATAAAATGTGGGGTTAATGTAATGTTTAAAAACAACAAAGCTGGGCATCGAAACTGGAATAGCTTTTTATAGTATCTGCATTACATTTCACGAAGAGGAAAAACTGCAACTTGTCTTTGTTGCTGAGGTCGTTTGCGAAAGAGAGCAAGTAAAGCTGATCTGTATTCTGGCATGCGGATAGTGTATAATATGGGATTTACAAGAGAGTTTGCATAAAATAAAACCAACAATGCAGAATTTAAATGAAAATCCGCTGAAAAGGACAGGGACTGCAATATTTTAAATTTACTGATATAAACGACATAACTCATTATAACTAGTGGCAAGCACAACAGAAGAGATACAACAGTCACAATCAACA